CGAAATCTGAGTTTTTCGTCAGAAGTTCACCGAAAAACTGATCGGTTTCTGAAAATAATCGTCGAAAACTGGGAAGTTGACCGAAAAATTCAAACTTGACCAGAAAAGTCACCGAAAAATTCAAACATCGCTGGAACATTCAACCGAAATTTGAAAATTTTCAGAAAAAATTCATAAACAATTCTCCAAAAATTCACTGATTCCTAGAGCTGTTCTAACGCACCAAAACCTTTTTTAGCTTATGTTTCTTCTCTGTGTACTCTCTCTCAACTAGTGTCTGCCTTTTTCTCTGTGTGTCACGGTCCTTTAATCCGTGGATCTATTTATAAGGATTGATCAGAAGAGTTTTTGATCAATCCTAACTCCTCTTTGGATTAAGATTCAATCATTGAATCCAATATGGACTTTAATTGAATCTCAATTCACGGTGGGATTCTCCAAATCAATCCAATCTCAGCAAAAAAAAAAAATATTAATAGATAATTAAAAAAATAATAAGATAAATCAAAATATTAATAGATAAATAAAAATAAATAATAGATAAATTATAATATATAATAATAAATACATATATATGATAATATATAAATAGCTAAGTAATAATAAATATATATTAACATAAAAAAAATAAAAAATATATATTAATAAATAGTAATAATAAATAAAAAATAATACATAAGATACAAAGAAGAAAAAAAATATAAAATATAAAATCAAAATATAAAAATCAAAAATCAAAAATAAAATGAGCCTACTTATTTGAACCAATCTTAATTGATCTGGACCTAAATCAAATTAGATGTCTACAGAACTATAATAAGGTTTTGTTTACTTTTTGACTTTACGGTGATTTCACCCAATAAATCTTGTGAGGGTGAAATGACACTAGTAGTGCTGGCTGGTTCTGTTTTAAGTATATACGTTTGTGCATTTCAATTAAAGATACTTGTCCTTTCAAAGTTATAAATGCATTGTTATTAATGAATTAGGTTGTTCCTTTCATTCCAACTGCTGGTGTTATTGAATGGGTTGATGGCACTCTTCTTCCTCTTAAAGAATATCTTATATGAAGGTTAGTTAACTTACAATTACAGTCTTATTGCATTACCAGTTAATTGTGAGATATTACATTGAACTTTAATGACTCGATATCATCAATTTTCAGCAATAGAAATGAAGGTGCACATGGTCGCTATGGAATGGAGACGGGTCATTTCTAAAATGCCGATAACACATGTAAAATGCAAGTTGCCTTTTCCTTTTTTTATTGCATAACAAAGAGTATTTTAATATCTGTTAGCTGTAAATTTTCTTATTTGCTTAGAATACGTGCTTAACCCTTCTTCCTCTGCTGGGCAAAAGGAAGATGACATAGACTACGCCGTTTATTCAAAAGAGCCATCACAGCTTATGAAAGAGCAGCTTGGAAATGACTAATTAGTTTAAGGTACTAACCAACCGAGCCGCAGAGAGCCCTTTTTCAATGTTGGCGGAATAAGACCTGTTGGTGGTTTAAATGGCATTTTATTAGGATATGGAATAAATACGACTTTGGTTCCAGAGATAGCGATTCTGTTTAGTGAAAATAGAACTAAAGAAAATAGGTTCAACTTATCCCAATCCTCGCTCTGGACCAAGGTCTCTTTCGGGATGATCAGTGGTTTTATTTTCGTTAACTGTAAGCCTTCTCCATTGAGATAGGTGATGAAAAAGAAAATCTACTTGATATTATTTTTATCTGTTCATAAGAAAACATGATAGTGTGATGTGATCCAAACGTATCTTAAATAATTGCTTGAAATTGATATTTTGAGTTCATAATGGAAGCTTATTTCATGTGTCTATATTTCTTCTGTTTACAAGTTCATTGGTTTTGATTGGCGGTGATCCTGGTGTAGGAAAGAGTACCCTACTTTTGCAGGCACAAGTTTGTAGCATTTAATGGTGTTCATGGTTCTTCTATTATCTTGTTCTGGTTTTTGTTCTTGTTTGTTTGAAAAGGAAACTCTTCTGTCATAGTAGTGCCTGTTTAACCATGAATATGCCAGCATTAATTCGAGTTAAATTCATTTCTGGCTCCCTCATGGCAGAGTGTTGAACAAATTAGAAGTAGAGCTAACCGTATGAAGATTGGAGCAAACGAACTTTACCTATACTCTAGTACTAATATCAAGGTAAATGGTTCTAAAGAAATGATTACAATTGAGAAATCTTTTTCTTTAATGCCACCTCTTAGCTGTTCTGTCCACTTTTCATCCAAATTGAAAGAGTATTGCTGGTTTACCATATTGGAAATGAAATCTATGATTTTCCTTGTAGAGAGAATCAGGTGGTGAATCCTATACTAATTGGTGGGTTTGCTGCCATTCAGGACATACTGGTAAAAAATTCAGCCCCGCTCACCACGGGCTGTAATTGTTGATTCAATTCAGATGGTTTATCTGAAGGAAGTTACTGGAACTGCTACAGGTCTCTCACAGGTTGGAATATTTTTGCACCATGACCTTTATGGACTCTTTTTATCCTTACCCTTTGGCATAACTTATGGAATGACTTAGTTATGAGACTTATAAATTAAAGTTATTAGCACTACTTATTATTTTAAACCATTTCCCTTGTTAATGTTTTGTTCTTCCCCAAGTAATCTTGTTTTTAACATAAAGTTTAACTAGCAATATATCAAGTCATGTAGAGCAGAAAAGATAAGCACAAAGTCTTCCAGGAAGTTTGTGAGAACTTCAGGTTTACATTTCAAAATTTAGGATGATTAATGTTTAATTGTTGATGTTTTTCAAATCCTAATGTACTTGAGACCTTATGCAGACCTGTCATGCATTAGTTTTTTCTAGAAAAATTTCTGCAACTAGCTGACTGGTTTGAGAAGAGACTAGCTTAATCACGAAGTGTAAGAGCTACTTCAATGGTAGGCATACTCTGCTCTGTATTATTATTAGAGTCCTATTAATGTTAAAGCTAAGAATTGTCTCCCCATATTATGCCATCCACCGTGAAAAATTGAAAATCTTTTTGCTCGTCTCTATGCATGTCTCAGACTAGAACCAACATCGACCAATTCCCAAGAATGCCACCAATACTTCTCGGATAGCTGCACTCAAATAATCTTCCTTCATTTTGTTATATGAACTTGTTCAGCCCAGCATCTGCAGAGACTATTGTTTTCTCGCCAAACAAATTTGATTTGTAGATATTTCGATACATGCATGTTAATTGAAACATATATAAGTAAGATTTTACTCTACTTTTCATTTTCTTTTCTAATGGGAAATTTTAATTTTACCTTGATATGTGATTATTTACTGCTGCATGAATTCCCCTATTGATATAGCAGAGTTACGCTTCAAGTAACCGATTATTTCACCAACAAAAGGCCACCATGAATTCCCCTTCCACCATGAAAATCCTCTAAAGTTGATTGAATTCTTATTTCTTATATCTGCCACTCATCTCTACATCTTTTATTTGAATTACTTATGGGAGCATATTTTCTGGATCTTTTGTTGGTATTAGAAAATTACTAGATGGAAAATATTTTCATGATGAAAAGGGCATTAATATTCTAGCAACAATATTCCGAACATTGCTAGTGATGCAATGGAGTCTCCAAAGAGGAGATGGAGCAAAAATTGAAGGAATTAATGGGTTTATTATTCTGAAATGGGTGTTTGCCTATATTGCAACTGCAAAAGCCAAATAAATTATTTCTTATATGTATATTTTTTAAATTATTATTTTTTTCAATTATATATTGTAATTTTGTTTAATTAATTTATAAGCCCAAAGTTTTATTTAAATCAAATGTCCAAATTTGAAGCTGAATTAAAGCTTAAATGTGTTTAAATTAAAAATCCGAATTATTAATATGATCTTATTCGAATTTATCCAGATCGATTTTATCTAGATATTTTATTTGTATAAATCAAATACATATCACAAAAATACAAAATCTGAATAGGTCAAATTATATAAAAAAAATTAAAAATTTAAATTAATCCGATCCGATATTACGCCTACTTTTCATTACGTTTATAGTTATCATAACTCTAATTAGAGTATTACAATACTTCTAATTTATTTTACGTTAAATGATATTAATTTTATGATTATTCTATATTTTTTTTTTTAATACTTATTCATTGGTTTAAAATTATTCTTTGGGTTTAAGGTAATAATTTTTTTATATTATCAACTTAATTATTTACGTTACAATAATATCTTTTTATTCTTGTTCTTACTTTCATTACATTTATAATTATCATAACTCTCTCTTAAGATATTATGATATTTCTAACACATTTTATATCAAATGATATTAATTTTACAATAATTATTTCCTTTTTACGTTAACCAATTTTTGATTAATTTTTTAAAAATATTATATTATCTTGTTCTCTTTTTTAAGAATTTTAAATTAAATTGTATTTATCTGTTAAAATTTTTTTTTATTTAATAAATAATATTTAATGTAATTAATTAAAATTAGATTAACAGGTTAATAAATAATTAATTATTTTTATAATTAAAAAATTTAATGATTTATATTAATTTTTTATATTTACTAGTTATTCAATAACTATACAATAAAATTAAAAATTTTAAATTTATTGTCGAAGTTTCCTTATTTATATACGTAAAATATATAAAATTTTGTATTGATGAAAAGTTTTAAACCTTAATAAATAATTTTTATTTATTATTAATTAAGAATGAACTTAAATTTTAACTTAAATTCACGTTTATTTTCTATTTTGATAAAATTTAAATCAATGAATAGTTTAATAAATTTTTATATTTAAATGGGTTTAGATTTAAATAATAATATTAATCTTAAATGAATATTTAACTAAATTCAAATATTATAAATAATAAATAAATACAAATACAAATTCTTAAAAAAAACCAGTATTCACTCCTTTATTATCTCTAGTTACAAGGAACACTAACGATCTCTACTATCTCTAGTTATTCGATCCGTTACCGTCTCTTGTTATACGGTACACTTTACCAAGGCTATCGTATAGGTATTAGCACAAGCCATAGACCAAAACATAGAAAAAGGAAAAATCAATCCACTGTTACTAGAAAACAATGGAAGACGCGAGAAACAACCCACCAAGCGAGACTCACGTAAAAGAGACATCCAACAATAAGAGAAAGCTCTCAGTCTCCCACAATGAGGATTTGCAGAACTCCTACTACAAAATCCGTGTTCTTGTCCGACAGCTTCGACCACATTTTATTCAGGTAATCATATATACTTACATCATCTTTCGCGGTTGAACCGACTTTCTTGTTGGATTTGGTTCTTCTGTTTCGAGTTTTATACATGCTTGATGGTTTTTTTTTTTATTGGAGTTTAATGATAGTTTTAAGTAGTTTCAGTGGATTTTCATAGTTTTTTTTGTTTTCTTTTATGGGTTTATTTTGTTTAGGGGTCGCTTTTATCTTTCTCTTTGTTGTTTCTTGTTGAGTAAGCCGGAATCTAAGAGTGCCTCTTGAAGGGTCAATTTATATTTATATTTTAGATACTAATACAAAAAATGATACAGGACTATGAACGATAATGTGGGTCCCGAGCATACTCCAAACAAGTCATATGATATACCATGAAAGCTTTTTAAGTTGAGCCAAGTGAGACAGAACCAAAAGTGCCATTTTTACTAGAGTTGATCATATGCAAAGTGTTTTAGTGTTCCTTGATAGCATGAAATGGGGTTAATAAGCAGTGCTATTTGTCCATATTTTTTACTTGTTCCTGGAAACATATTTTTGAAATCCAAATAGTTACATCCCAGGATTCAATTTGGAGAGGCCAACTATTGATTCTTAGTTTAGTTTCAATCCTCACATGATGATTTTTGTTTCATATTTGACGGAAGTGCTAAATGTGTTGCAGCATAACGAAGCTCTTTTTAGTAGCTTAGAAAAGGGAATCTTGCCTTAATTGAAACTAATAAGCAGCAGGTTATATGTAAAGGCGTAATTGATCGAGTTCGAGCTGATACAATATTAAACTTGAGCTCAAACTTAATTATAAATTCGAGTCTCGAAACTTAGCTCGTGCTCAATCGAGTTTTATTATTTTAGCTCGAATTCGACTTGAGGTAAAAATCGAACTATTGAAGGTCACTCGATTAACATAAAAAAATAAGTTCAATTCTTATATTCGACAAAAACTTGATTATTTGTGCTGAAGTTTGAGTTCGAGATATTTTATTAATTAAAATAATTAAAATATATTAAAATATAAAAGTTTGATTAGGCTTGTGAATTACTCAAGTTAGGTACAAAAGTACTTTAACTCGATTCGATCTATAAGTTGAGCTACTCGAACTCAAACTTGATTTAATAATAATTGAGTTAAATTTAAGTTTATTTGAGTCGAATTCAAATAGCTTGCGAGTACTAATGTATTATTTACACTCCTAGTTATATGCACATCTTCACCTTGTGGTCGCTTGATTAAAAGATCTTAATCAGATATACTAATTAGAACAATTAAAAACAAGGAGAAAAAAAGGTCATATTGTTCATCTTCAGAGCCAGCCCAATGATCCTTGAGACAGATTATTACTATTAGTATTAACAGCATTGGATAAGTTGGCATCCCCTGCTTTAGTTTTCCTTTCTTCTTCATATGGAGCAGACTTCCCTGGAGGTTTATTATCTACATCCTTATATCCTCTTTATATATTCTCATAGTTATTGCATGAAAAATTTACCAATTTGCTACTGTTAAATCAAATATAGTTTTCAGTTGCTGGCAACATTATGGCAGCTCTAAATACCTAGTACTTTATGCGGTCAACTCTTTATTTTAGTGACTAAAGAGCTTGTCATATATTTTCTGTCAAGTGATGACTAAATTGAATATGATATAATGAAGAGAAGCACTGACTTGTTAATTCGTTTACCATTTTCTATGTAGGTTCTTCAGACACCTGACTTCAGAAATTGCAATGCAGCTCATGAAATTAAAAAAAGTGAGTTCTTAAAGTTATATTAAATTTGGTTTAGTATGGCACTTAAAACACCATTTTATTTTTACGGGCAACTTTCTTCTAGGTGTATATTCTTGCCTGTGTTTAGTTTGTAGCCTGCTTTCCATAGGCTTAACGTGACTTAATTTTGTCAAAAATTTTGGAAATACCTTCCGAGGGTTCTGCTATAGACAAATTATATTTTTGTTAAGCTAGTTGGAACCTGAGGATCTGTGTGGCAAATAAAAGCTGCTAGCAGCTGAGCATCGTACTCATATTGTTCTGATTTTGAACTAAAAATTGGAGATCTGTAAGATTACTGATATACTTACACCCAAGCTTCTCTCATGGTAAGACATGAGAAGTTTAGTGAACGGTTTCAAATGTATACATGGTAATACTACATCCAATTTGTCCTTTGCAGACTTGAAACTTGTTTTGGATTTATACAAACAGATGATAGCGGAGACGGACCCACCTGTGAATGTTGTGACAGAACCGCAAACTTTATCTGGTGAAAATGTTTTTGAAGAACAAGACCCTGACAAAGTCCAAGAGGGAAAAGAAGCAGAGCTGCTTAAAACTGAAGATTGTGCAGAAAAATCAACAGATATAAAGCATCCAATGCCTTGTTCTAGCTCAGAGTGGAAGCTTAATGATGACCAATTTCGTGGTAGCTATATTGTGGGCGGATCAGTCTTTGGTTGGAATTTCATCACTTATGGAGGCAGTAAACCAGTTTACTATGGGCTAACAAAGGAGTCATATCTAAATAGGCAGATGAAGTCGTAATGATGGCTTGTGCTTTTGACACCAATCCGTCCTGATAATAAGAAGTCACCTTTTGTGGTGTACAACAAAAATTTTGCAATGAGATAGCCATGTTGGAGTGGCCATGAAAAATCAAGAAAGGGTCCTCTGCCCGGTACATTTTTTGAAATTTTGATTACAAACTGAACAGATTGGTCATTGGTGCTTTATGGTTTACCTAGATGAACGGAAATTTTGTTACTATAGATTTCATTTCGATCGGAGCTTCTCTGTGTCATTTTGCCTATCAAACGGTTTATGTCTTTTACAGTTTACAATCCCCCTTTTCGTTTCCCACCGTTACCGATATGTAAGGGTTAAATATGGCTTATGAACCATCATGAACCTGGTTTATTAGAAGGATTTGATTTGCTGTTAAATTTCCACTTTTATTTCACTAGGTTGTCTATATTTCACATATTTTAATGTTTTTTTTATATCACTGCTGTTCATTATTAATATTTGTAATTAGGGGTATAAATGAACATAGCTTTTGATGAATTATTCATGATCATGTTCAGTTTTTGTTCGTTTATTAAGTTTAACAAATGATTTTAAACAATAATTTTATATTTATTTATTATATAAATTGAATATGAATAGAGGTCTATGTGGTTCATTTATGTTCGTGAATAAATTCATTTAAAGTTCGTTCGTTTATTATTTTGTTTATAATAATATTAATAAAATTATATTTTTATCTTTTACTGTAATTTTTTAAAAAATTTATTTATGTTTATTTGAATTTTTTTATATTCATTTAGGGTTTATTTGTTTAATTTTGTTTAGTTATAATTTATTTATTATTCATGAATATATTCATTTATATATTTTCATAAACATATTCGTTTAATATTAATAAATGAATTCATTTAACTTAATTAAACTGAAACATGAATCAAATACAAATAACTTATTATTTAGATTAATCAAAACTGAACGAATAAAATAATTTTTTTAACATGCACAAATGTTTTTTAAAAGTAAACAAATAAATCACATACACATGTTTGTTTATTCGATTCTACTCATATTCAATTTTGTCTCAGCCTTATCTTCAATCTCTCTCCCACTCCACTTGTAATCATAACTCTTCACCATATTCAGTTTCTAACGAAAACTGATTCTTCAATATGGTTTACAACCAAAGTTTGTGGCACTTTTGACATTATTGTTTAGCAAGTTACTTGTCACGTGTTTGATTGCCTCTTTCTTTTTTTGTTTCCTTTTCCTTGGGTTGGGGCAGAAGATGTATGCAAAACCAATGTGATTTCTGTTGGATAACATGGATTAATGAAAGAACAACGATATTTATAAACCATTGCAGACCGAGTTCCAGTTGAGTTGATTCAATCGAAAGTACACACGGACTCATTCTTTAAATTAAAGGAAATATATATATATATATATATATATATATATATCTCTGTCCTGAACACTTAGAATCCCTACAGGACCAAATGAAACGACAAAATTGTTAAGACTGATACATGGTGGAACAGCACATCCCTCCATTACTCAAGGAAATGGCAGCAGCGAAGCTTGCTTAAGTAACTCAGAAGTCATGGAAAAGCATGATAGCATCGTCAAGCTTCATATGTGATGATTCCAAGAGTAACCTGACTTTTCTTAGTCGGTTAACACGTTTATCTTGCGGAATATTCAAAAGCTGGAAAATTCACCATAGTAATATATATTATTAGTATGAGAATAGTAATATATATTATTAGTATGAGACAGTATAGAACTTTTTCTTTTGTTAATTACACTCCAAGGCAAGGCAAGGCAAGGCAAAAATTAACAAGACATGAATGAGGCTATTGAAAATCTCAACACTTCCAACATTAAGAATATGCTAAAGCAAAGAAGGTATAATGATATGTTTCTGCAAAAGAAAGACACACAAGAAGATTAATTGTGCATAACAAACCTCCTTTTCTTGTTCCAACTCATGAGCCACTCGTAGGCTCAAATTTAAGGCAGCATGGAACATCTCATCTAGTACATGCTCCTGGAGAGTGTTCTTATTCACTTTCCACAACAGGAACTGTGATTGTCTAACTCCTGTTAGTTGTAATTTCTGCAGGAAGAAATAAGCATTATCGTGAAAATGAATTTAGACTGTTTAAACCATTGTCCACTCAATATGGCAAACTTACATAGTAAACTGCTTTTTTTCCCCCTTTTTCCTGGATGACTAGCACAATACCAAAGTTCATAACCAATTGATACTGTAAAGACATTTAACTTCCACAATTAACTATGTAATTTCTTTATTGCAAAAAATTACACATATACCTTATGCATAGCCCAAGATAAACATCAATCTGTGAAAAACATAGCTTCAATCCTATTAGTACATAAACATCTGAGTATCTTGCAAATAAAGGCTCTTTTTCAATTGCATTTATTGATTCTATTGTTTGCATTCACTTAAGATGGATTCCAATTCATTTAGTTTTAAATTGTGGAATATTAAAACAATTATAAATTCTGATGAAAGCCTGTCAGACTTGAAATTGACTTCATTAAGTTGACCTTTTTATTAGTTTTGAATTTCAGTTAAATGTGTATAATATTTATTTATTCCAAACAACAAACTTAATTTAACGGAATCCAACATAACCACGTTAAAGCAATTTGTCGCAAAAGTTAAGAGGTGTCAGAAAACATACATAGTTATTTTGCTATGCTTATTCGTAGGACACACAAAGAAAAGGTTTGTACCTCCATATGCAAATAATCATCCTTCCACAGTTTATAAAGAATTTTTGGCGTGTCCTTCTTTTCAACAAAAGTGGTATCTGCAATCTACAAGATTAAGAAAAACAACAATTCCAGTGCACTAATAAGATTCTTAAAACCACAGACTATATATCTTGAATAGCAACAGCAAAAGTCTACAGGGTTATCTCCATCAAAGGATTGATACCTTATCAGTCTCAAGCAGGCGACCACTGTTTAAAAGTAACCGGAACATTCTATATGCATCCCTTCCATATCTTTTCAACACAATAGATTCCACCTGCAATATAAGATATGTTACTGGCCATCCATCTAGCTGAATGGAGCATGAGCAACTCAAATATTTTAATCAACACTAAAATCAAAAAGACCTCCTCATTCTGAGCTAGTTCAATTATTTTCTTGAAATCTGTACAAGAAACAGTAATGTGTCACCAGAAATATAAAACAAATTAATCAGCCAAAACAAAGATAGAGTGAGAAAAAAGGCATACCAATACTGTATGACTCATTGACTGCTTTTACAAAGGGTGGACAACTCAACTGAACAAGGGACGCTCTAACACGATCAAAGGTTATATTACGACCTTCTTCACTCTTTATCACCTCTTCATATATGGAATTCAGTGACAGTGGAACTGTAAAATGCAGTTTTATCAATAATACAAGCAACAATCAACAAAGTTGCACAAACCAAAGGCACAAAACCCCTTCCCCCTTTTTTCTTTCCTTTTTGCTGAAACTTAGTCGATTCTTTTGCCAAAACAGAATTCCTGGCTTCTTAAATTTGCAACCCTAGCCTAATTAATCCAACGTAGCTACCTAAAGTGGCTTCTGTGTAGCCTATATTGTTTAGTCAACATAGCCAAAGCATCTTGCACCTCCTCTGTATAAAAGGCTTTTCACATATTAATTAAGATTATTTCAAAAACACACTTGTGGACACATTAGTACTTTTTTAAAGTAAAAAAAGAATCTAGGACTATAACTGCAAGTTATAATTTCGATAAATGACAGAATAACTCCAATTCTTGCACTGATACTGTATTAGATCCATATTTGCATTATAGAAATTGAAAAATATATCCGAATATGATTTTGGCAGCAAAATAAATACATAATTGTAGGTGTTCAAAGGTAATTAGCAACCATATCGAAGATTAGCTAACCTGAATTCTCTGTTTTAACTTTCTTCTCTGCACCTCTAGTTGCTTCCAGCATAGCACCCAAGACAATAATAGCTCCATCATCCAGGTGCGCCCTCACATTCTCGATGCAAGCCTAGAAATTACACAGAACTTCACATTCATTCAATAATAACAGGTAGGAAAATAATTTAAGTCTTACATAATTGAAGGGACTGTCTAGTGAACCCTTGAGGTTTAGATGATTTCTTCACCACCTTGAGCTTCTCTATTTTTCTAAGGAGCCCAAGAAAAAAGAAAAAAAGAAGAAAGAAAAGAATAAAGCAAATAAGGAACAGCATGCTTTCTTTTCTTTTTGTTCAGCAAAAGGCCATGGCATGCTAATTTACAAACTTTATACAGATTAATGAGATCTCTAAAAATCAGATGATTTATATCTAACATTTTTTGTTAATTTTTGTGAGCATATTGTTAGTGGTTTTTATATGGGGACACAAAGTATACTACATCTAAAGACAATTTTCTCTCAAAGAATTTTAACCTGTAAGAAACTAGAAAGGGCAAAAATACCCTAAATGCAACAAGAAGAAAACACGGAAAATCACTTAAGTCAAATGAAATTCATCAAAGACTTAAATGCTGAAATTTCCCAACAGCATGATTCTCTGGAATAAGGCAATACAGCTAGTATATCTTTCATGAATATGCGTGAAATGCAATACTTAGCAACCTTTGGCTAATTCATATTATCACCACTTCATAACTTACAATAGGATTACACATGAATAGAATGAAGCATATTATTTCTAGAGTGATCAACAAAATGCTTTTGTTTCTACTTTCTTTAAACATATTCAAAGTATAATTCAGATGACGAATCATAAGGTAAACCAACCTTATGCCTAAGACGCCGTATAAATTCCTCGAAATTAGCACGCCAAAGAACAACTTGGTCATCTGTAGTCCCACATTCTGTCTCTGACTCTAAAGCATCACGCTTGCGCTATAAAAGATGGAGAAATTTCAAATTAGCATATGAATAAACCTAGTCAGTTCAAATGATATGTTTTATGCCAACCTTCTCGCCAGGTGCCATGCCAGAGGAATTGCTCTCATCCTTCCCTCCGTCAGCAGCACATTCGGTTTGTGTTACAATCAAAAATCTTAAGGCTTCAGGAGGTGCAGCAGCTTCCAAAACACGTTGCTCTAACGTTTCTTTTTCTTCAAGTATCTGCAGTATAAATTTTAGAAAGTTTCCAACAAAGTCATATTTATTCAGGATAAAAGTTAGATGGTGCAAGCTGATATCAAGAGGCAATTTACAGTAATTAGAATATGAATGACTGCAGTACTCCAATTATATAATTTAATGCCTGCCTAGTTAATGTGACAACAGCTTTCTGTAAATCCACATGGACATAACAGAAAATTTTACTCACAAATTAGCAAAACCAAAGTAGCTAAAATCTAATTAAGGATGCATTACACATCAGCATCTAGGGACCAAAACACTTCAGGAAGATGATCTTTATTATGAATTACCGTTTCGTAAGTATGTTTCAAAAGCAGTCCTGAAGGATAGAACTCTGCTGTAATAGACTTTGATTCCAATAACAATCCTCTAGTGATATTTCTACCACCAGAGAAAACCACTTGCCTAGTCCAAGTTTTGCACGAAAGCAATCTCCAACTAGTATGACATTAATCAACAAATACCTTGGCAGACTTAGGACCTCGCTTCCTTGCAGAAGCTTCTTCTTCAGTTGGTTTTGTGAGAACTGGCTCAGAGGCAGGGCATCGTTCAATAAAATGAGCATTCCGTAACTTAATAAAGGCTTCTCGTACAGCATCTAAAATTGCATCATCTCCTGGAAAATATATAACATTTATTAAATGGACGTGAATAAATTCCCCTATGGGTGTATCACTTAGCTCAGATGCACTATCTAATCAATCCCCAGTTCCTTTCAACCAAAAGAGTAATATTTGCCAATATCCAAGAAAGAGAAAGAAAACAGGTAATTCTGAAAGAGCTGCCTTCATTTTGACCCGATTTTGCTCGATCAGACATTTGTTTGAGGGTAAGCCTTCCATGGAGAAGCAAAGCCTCCAGAAGTTCAACACACTACAAAAACCAATGCACAAAATGTAATAAAGTTAAAAAAAGAAAAAAGAAAAAATCTATATTTATTTAGGCCCCATTTGATTGATGCTTCTGCTATTTGCCTTTTGTTTTCTATTTTTTAATTTTTTTTCTTTTTGCTTTATATTATTTAAAAAAAAAAAAAACAAAAAACAAATAGCAAAAGCATCAACTGAATGGAGCTTTAGTCTTATTCTCACATTGTTAGTAGAAATGAAGAGTTTACTTGTTTATCAAGTTTCTGGGAGACGATAGTCAAGAATTTGGGAAATCTCCAACGATGGATTATGTTATTGAACAGCGTTATGTACTGAGTATTAAGTTTTGCTCCATCTCCATGATCACCTGCATGTTCCATTGCAAATTATTTCAAACAATCAAATTCTAACAAAGGAAGCAGATTAACGAATTCAATTCCATGTTGAGCATTAAAAGTAACTGCAATACCCATTGCCCACTTAATCCAGCCAAAGCGAATTAAACCTTAACCCTCTTTTTCCCATATTCTTAGTAGTCAAACAGAGAATAAACAATTAAGAAAAAAAAGTATAAATTTGAAATGAAGAAAGATGGAAGAACCAGGTTGTTCGAGAACGAACGCTTGAACGCAATTGTGTTGAATTAAGACAAGTAAGCTGTTCTTGACTTGAGAAGAAGTGAGCTCCGTAAACCGGACTATGGCTTGGAGATTTAACGGTCCTTTCCGGAGAAGACACTCACAAACTTTCTGTACAAACAAAGCAACGAAATTAAACTTAATACTATTATTACCGTATAAATAATTAAATATTCATAAATCTATATAATTATAGGTATAAATTGAATGTTAAGGATAGAAGTAGATTTATTTACGGCGACGAGATCGCCGAAGTGAGTGGTGATTAGATTGACGGCGTATTTGATTCCGTACTGAGTCACCATCTGACGCCGGTTTCTTTGGTTTGCTTCTACTAGGAGATTGAGAAATAGAAAAGGCACGCGAGACGGGAAGGTTGCGAGGGTTTCAACTTAATGATAATGAATATGTATAATGACTCTTGCTACGCCAAATAAAAAAGGGTCTATAGCTCAGTGGTAGAGCATTTGACTGCAGATCAAGAGGTCACCGGTTCGAACCCGGTTGGGCCCTTTTATATGTTGAATTTCATTTAACAGCTATTGTATTTTGGGCTAAGTGTTCTTTTGGGCTTTCAACTAAAATCAGTATCTATATGGGCCACGTTCATTGTTATTTAACAGCTATTATATTTTGGGCTAACAAATTTTATGATGTTTGCAACTAAGTTCCGTATCTATATGGGCTACAAACTGGGCTCTCAGCCTCAGGCCATAACCGTGCTTACAGAAGAAAAAAGGAAGTTTCTTTATTATTGCTTAAATCTTAGTATTTATAAAGTGTGCAATTGAGTTTGGGTTTGTTGTTATCAAAGTAACATTAACAAGTGAAATTGAAATTTTCAAACAAGTGACAAAATGAAACAACCTTCAATTTGAAACAACTTTAATTCATTAGGTTTTCTAGAATTCCATAAATTCATTTTTTTTTTTTTCAAATCCTCAATTTTCTATTGCCAAAAAGCAAAAGTTAAATTTCAACATCAAATAAAGATAGACTGTTAACAATAAATGAAATGCAGGCAAGCAAAACAGAAAAGAGAATACCTTTCTTTTAAGGTAGATTTTGGTATCTTAGAAAAATCATCATGGTAGTATAATTATAAAATAATTTTATTATCAAAGTAATCCTAACACTTATAATTTGAAATTACTTTATTTAGTTAATAATTATTAATTCTTAAAAATTAAAGATTACTGTATTTGATATTATTAAAAATCAAACATTGTATATTATAATAGTTATATATATTAATAATTTTAATATTGTTGAAAGATAATATTAGTAATATTTATTTATTTTATAATAAAATGTAATTAAATTATTATATTAATAAACATATTTATTGATAGGTAAATTAATTTTTATAATATAAATTATGTAAAAAAAATATTTGAATTAGAAAATAAAACCAATTTATTAAATTTATAATAAAAGAAAAATAAAAAATTATATTTTATATAAAATATTAAAAAAATAAAAAATATGATAAAGGTTTCTCATCCTTTTGTATAGAAGTTACATCACCTTTCAAAATAATAATTTGATTACTTTTGAAGATTCATGATTAGTTTCAGTGTTTTAAAATCACCACCACATAGGCTCAACATAGGATCACAGAGCGCTTAACAAATATAGTGATCTAATCTTCATGCTTTTTGGATTGACCACTCCATGACAAACACGAGAAGTTGAGTTGATAGAAACGCCTCCGCCTCTGCCTCTCACCTTCGGTCTCCAAAGTCCGAACCCCAGCCAATTCAATCAGATCTAATATCAAACCCTACCTGCTTCTACTATTAAATACAAGAGTCAATCGAGACGAATGGCCTTTATTATTATTATTTTTTGGGCCGAGCCTTAGCTTTAGCCTAATTTGTGAGAGCAGACGTCCATCAGCCCGATGAAACTTGAAACCCTAATTTACATTACACTAAGCTACTTATAAATTAGGAAGTATACTTCGTTCTCATGCCACCGACGTTGATGCTGACGTAGCTTCTGCTTTGTCAATGATAGAGATGCGTTATCGGGCGTGGCGGTCACAGAGGTCTTGAGGGACGTTCACGAGGTAGGATCATTGGGGAAGACAGATGAAACAGGCTACAGCAGGAGCCTTACAGTCTAGGATAGCGACGGAAGCCTCGCGGGAAGGACAAGCATTACTACCCTCGTGAGCCATCTCTGATTAGAGTTTTCTTTTCCTTGATTTCTGATTGATTTGTTTCAAATAACACAAGAAAAAAAAAATCATAAAACTACCCAAAAACCAAAAACGAAAATGAAAACAAACCCTAATATTACCCAAACAAGAAGGAAATAAAAAAACTTCATACTGTTTTTGTCACCTTTCATACTGTCCATCTAAACAAAGATTTTGGTCATGTTTATGTTCTTAATAAAGATACTTAACTGTGTTATTTGCTTCTTAGCTTGGTGGTCAAGGAGGCTTTAAAGAGAGCATGAGATCCTGCGTCGTTCGAATTAAGTTTGGTCTTAATCAAAATTATATACAGCTTTTTTTTTTTTCAAATCTGAAAATAAAGATAAGAGAACTGAAATTTTCACTTTTTTTTTTTACTTAAGATTATAAAAAATTAAATATGAATCATTAAAATTAAAATTTTAATATTTTATTAACTTATAAAACTAATGTTTACATCACTTATTCTTTCACCTAAATAGTAAAGTAAAATTAATTTGTAATGTCAAAACAATTGGGCACTCTTAATAACATATATATAGAATTTAATTAAGTTGCAAATAAAATTAAAACTCAACAGGTTCTATTATATGTGAGTGGTTAACAGCTTTCAGCCTTAAAATTAGGAAAACAAAGAATTTTGATTTGGGGAGATGGTATCAGGAGGACTAAATCTAATATTGGCGTCCAAACTTTCCAGTCTCCAAAGCATCGCTATGGCAGAAACTGTATGTAGCTCCGTGGTCCAATATTTCAGCTTTGACTCGGCAAGCAGAAACTGAGACTAGTATTTGATTTCTCTCCTCTCAGGTGTAAGCTAGAGTTCCAAAAACTGATCATCACCACTGATTTTTTTTATTCCTTTCTCACAGAAACAATGGAAGCCTATATCATTATTACCAATAAGAAATGTGAAATAGAAGGAAATAAAAAAAAAGTTTGATAATCAAAGTGGACAAACTACTAAAGTCGGGAGGAGAAAAAATAGAAAAATGATTAGGAACTTTTGCTATTTCAGTTGTAAAGAGGGAGAACAAAGAGACCCCACAGGTAACGGATCGAGGGAACATTTCGATGCAAGTGCATCAGAGGGAGATCATGCGGGGCATGTGCGAGTGGTGTGGGGTGTGACTGTGAGTGTGAGTGTGATGTGCCCTCAAATATCGCTTTGATAGCTTTGAGTCTTTGACCTGATCACCACCACCACCACCACCGTCATCAGCAAGCAGTCCAGCAGCACATAAGGCTTTCATTTTGTGTGCGTGTGGAACTCTTCTTTGTTACCCTGAAGAAGAACCTGTTCACTGTATTGGGCTGAGACAAGAAATCAGTTTGATGAGCTTCTGCACTGCCCAATTTCTTTCAAATCATTGGACTAACGAATTTCTTCTCCATTCTGCTTGTGATGGGAAATGGAACTACTTTCCTTTTTCCTGCTTTTTTCTTAGTGGCCGCACCTTTCATTTACTAGTGATTCTAACTAATTAAGTATATTTTCCTTAGGGACAACATCGCAACCAGTCACCAAATTACTTGTCAATTTTATTCATCGATTATAAAATCCCTATAACGAATAGCTGTAATACACCGAGAATATATAACTAGCAAGTATGCTAGTGAATGAAATAAATAAATGGTGTCCCCAAGCCTTTAGCCTAGTGGTTAAAGGCGCTTGAGGAGATATTAAACCAAGCCCCCCTTCCCTTTCCTTGTACTAGGTTTTTATCTTTCGATGAACTAAAAAAAGATAAATAAATAAATGATGGGGTCGGAGAGGTTCAACGCACTTTCTTCAATTTCTTTCTTTATGTTATGGTTTATTCCTAGCAAATACTAATACGTTTTATATGCATGATCCGAGACTACAACTGTTTAATCCATTCCCGTGACTCTTGACGAGAAATATTGGGTAAATTATAGAATCGACTTGCCTAGCCTATCTTTTTCTTTTTGGTTAGCACTTAGCTGGTATACCATACAATTCTTTTTAGAATTTGGAAGAGAAGTCCCATACTCCCTCCTAGAACAGTTTCTTATTAACTTAATGGAAACTTTCTAACGATATGATTGAGAATGGAAGTCTATATCCACTCTGAAATGTTTTTAGAAGTTTTTAGAGGCTCGCGCAAGGGGTCGCGTAGGGAGAGTCACGCAGGAGGGGAGGGTCGCATAGAGGAGGAGGGAATTTTACTGACCAAAACTATTGACGGAATTTCATTGATAATTATGTCAAAACTTTAAAAAAAATTCTAAATTTACAATTTTCACAAAAAAATTATCAATAAATGGGATTTTTTCTACGGCAAATTTTCATCAATATAACTTATTTCTCCCATTTCTCTTGTAGTGTTAGGAACCCTTAGTTGGTATCGAATAAGACTCTAAAAAGTTGTAGTATTATAAGGATGATAAAACTGATCCAATCATGTTTCCATCGCTTGAAAAAGAAAAAGGGATTGGACAATAAATAAGAAATTAAATCCGAAGCATATTTCTAGGGGAAAGTTGCTATCGTATTGATGGACCCCAATTGCCCAACTGATGAGGCCAAACTGGTAAAATGAAATTTGAAGATCAGTTGAGATTTCATTTCAATGAGCAATCTCGCAATTGTGTACGGCCTTGAATACATGTCGACTCCGCATTTATGGCTGAAAAATGGATAAAGATAAACAACAATAAAGAAGAGAAAGGAAAAGGGATTGTGTCTTTTTCTCGAGGACTTGGTGTTCAGTTTCTACCCAACAACATTAGCTGTTTGATTGTAACTCTTACCTGCCTTAAAACCTTATTGAATCTCGTTATCTTTTCTGTCCTCAATATCACTCGCAGGCCCTTATTTATAATTAGCTTGCGCATGTGTCCTGATCTAATTGTCATGACAATAAAATTAATATGGAAGTGAAAAAGATTATATAAACTACAAAAGAAAAGAGAGAGAGGATGTGGTGTTTTGACAGAAACATGTAAAAGCAACGTGTGTTTGCTGCCTCTTCGTTGATTGCCAGCCTCTTACATTGGGAGCCAACGCTACGTTACTTGTCCTACATTTATTTGTGTGCTTGGAATTAAAATAAACTAAACTTTTTTTTAAATAAATATAATTTCAACTTTATGATTATTGAATGAATAAATAACTAAATAAATAATAAAAAAGTTAGGTAAAATCTACATATGTATAATGATTTAATTAATAATTAAAGAAAAA